GATTAGTAACTGTGTAACTGGTTACATTTTGTAATATAATTCAGTAATTACACCCCTAAATTGTATAACTTATCATTTTTAAGTAGGCATAATATCAAATACCGTGATCAACTTAAATAATGCAGTTTTTGTAAAATGGTACAATTTTGACTAATTTAACATTGCAGTTATATTGCAGAGGTGTGTACTCAGTCTTGTTGTATACTGTATGTGCATATACATGTGATGACAGTGCAGTGTTTATAAAAGTGCAATATCATGTACTTGTAAATTACAAGCAATGGACAACTCAAAGGGGTATTCATCTTACAAAATGACTTGCTTTGAAAAGTGCATTGGTGTCATGTTTCACATTGCATGCATAGAAAGAAATGTATAAATTAGTATGAACAGTATTACAAGGTGCATTACATTGCAGGAAATGTGACTAGATTTGGTTTGTAACTGGTATCTTTATAATAAAGCTATTAGAAACTGTATATTTAGTGACCATTCAATCTGTCTTTTGTCAAATACAGTTGTTAATCACATTGGGCATGATCTAACAGCAGGACTAGCACACTCTTGTACCTGCACTATTGGTTAAAAACTAACCCTTATGAGTGAAATAGATGTGCTTATCAGTAATGCATTAATGATAGGGCATGTTTTCCTCTGACATCTAACAGCCAAACAACATTCTACATGTTGCACAATCACCAGTGTTGCCTTGTCTTTAAGATGAAAGTGTCAGAGTTTCCACAGACTGGGCCTCCCACTGCACTTCCAAAGACTAGTAGGAACAACAGGCATTTCACATGCTGCTTTTATTAAGTCTAATTAGACTTCCTGACATTAGAGCAGTGTTTGTCCACAGTGTGAGCTCTGGGCGGGAAGGCTAGGCCAATGCCATTGCTCAGTAGATTCTTTCACCCCTGTAACTGCTACCCATTCACGCCCCATACCTTCCCCCTTTCCTGCCACCCAACCTCAGTCAGCCGCCTTTCTAGAAAAGGCCTTGAGGAGAGGTTATCGAGTGCAGGAATGTCGCTGCTCACGGTGTGTCTATACATGTGTGTGTGCAGTGAGTCTGTACCATGTAATTGGTGCTCTGGGAGCATGAGCAAGATGTTGACTGAAACAGAGGGCTTGAGGTTTATTTGCTAGCCTGTTTAGGCACAGGGCCACTGGTTGCTAGAGGCCCCCAGCCCACCTCTGGAGCTCCACCACTTTAAGTTTCAGAGTTAAAGATCCTCAGATGTCCTCAGGGCTTCTACATAGATAAATATGAATACCTTCACTAATCTGAGGAATTAGCTGCTTGATTAGCAAAGTGTGTCTCTGGACTCCAGAAATGATCTACTCAATGCTGTACTGTACTTTTTATTTGACATTTAGCTCCTTATTTCAGAGCACCTCTGATTTTCTTCTGTCACATTTGACTTTTAAATTATGAGTAATGCATAATAATTTCACATTTTGTGCAGAGTGCAATGACATCTTTGCCTGCCATTTGAATTCCTAGAAGTGAACTGACTTTGCTCATTTGGATTAAGCTAGTGGTTCCCCTGTTTGCTATACACCATGTTTACAGAGCCTGTCAAGAAGCCATGTGTTTAAAGTTCAACTGAAATGTAAAGTCCTCTCACTTTCTGTGTGAAAAAAAATTTATATTATAGTGACAGTGCAGCTGTTTTTCAGATTTTTCAACATTTCAAAAAGAGCATAAAACCCTTTGTGGATATATTTATGAAAAACAGCTGTGACTGATAACTTGGTGTTTTGCTGTCACCTTTTGTGGTGCACTACTGACTGGAAAGTATTTACTCTCTAACCTATTAACACTAATTAAGAGGTGGTTTTTCCATTTTTCTGCATGTCCACAGACAGCTAGCTATCAATGGCCAAGCTGTGTGAATCTTTACAACACTACTATAGTAGCCAGAGCAAAGGTGTTGTGCATATGAGTGTAATTCTGTCGCAGGTTCAGTATGTTAATGCAAATTTGACCAAATAAGTACATAAATCTAAACTAACACTATGTATATTATTCACATAAGAGCAAAAATAATATCAAAATGTTTTAATGAGGATACTTTGTTTCTTTGTTTTTTTTTTTTGTTTTCATTCTGTTCAGGTTGTGTGTGTTTAAAGTTTTTTGAAGATTGATGTTTTTATTAATTTTTGCATTTCAAATGTTGTCTTTGCATATACAGGAATATGCAAGATTCTGTTTCTTTTTTCCCATTTTTTCTTGCATTTTGCATTGAACAAATGCCTGTTGGTGGGGTTGTTTTGATGTCAGCAGTAGCATCATCTTAAATCACCACTGTAACGTGTGCAGCAGCAGCAAGAATTGCTCTTTGAATGCCACTCAAGGAATATCCAGTGAAAAGTATAAGCTGCTCTGAAGAAGAGGCTGCCTGCTCTACTATGATAATTCATAATCATATGCAAACTCCCTGGGGGTAGGTTTTACATTAGAAATTAAAATATGTCCAATGAGTGTTCACTTGTCCAAATAGGATGCACACTCCTTCCAGAACAAAACCTTACCTCCCTCACATGGCTGGTGTTTCAGCCAAGCAGCATTCCCCAGCTTACCTCCCTCCACTTGCTTAGCATTAAGCATTAGCATTTTTGTTTGTATAGAATTCACCACTGGTATCCAGTTTTTTTGGCTTGGCCTTCATAGCCAAAAAATACATCACTTTGCCTGGTTGAATTACCAAGAATGATGTATCCTTCTGAAATTGGTTGAATTATCAACCAGGCATAGTGGCCTCCATATTGTATCATGGGAAACAATCACCTCGTTTGGTTTTCTACTTCTTTAGCTAATTGCAGTGAACTTGCATGGTGATTTTTTTTTCAACCCTTCTCATCAGAAGACACTCCTGTCAAGGTGTTAACGTCCATGGACGGCCTGGACGTCTCTGTGAGATGGCTGAGGTTCCATCTTTGTTAAACTTTTGTATCACTTTTGCTACAGTATTCTGACTAATAAGTAAAGCTTTGCTGATCTTCTTGTAGCCTTCATCTTTCTTGTGTAAAGAAATTATTTTCCTTCTCTTGTGACATTTCTCTTCCATGTGGTGCCCATGCTGAGAGCATGAAATGGGAGGTGGTTTTCTTTGTTAAATAACGCCCTTTTAAAATCTACTGTCTGCTGGACACCTTGTTACATCTGCTCAGTCATGGAGGAGAGCGAGTAAAGAGAGGCGGACCCAGGTAACTGACTTCGGTGCAAGCAGTGCTAAATTTATTTACAGTGCAGTGAGAAAAAAGTCCATATGATAACAGGCAAGTGTAGAATGATGAGTAACCGGGTGTTAATCAGCAGCAGAGAAACCAGTTTGTGGTGAGATGGATGGGAGATGGCCGGGCTGCGGACGCTGGGGTCACTCCTGAGCTGAGTGGAAGATCATACTGGTAGGAGCTAGGAGAACTAAGGGTGAGAGACAAATGGTAAAAATATAAGAAAACAACGAATCGAACGGGCCTGAGAACGAGAATAAACTAACAAGGGAGTGATAGGTGAACGGGGTATAAGTAGGGTGAGAACTAATGAAGTGCAGCTGGTGATAATCAGGGGATGTGGAGCAGGTGTGCTAGGTGGTGTGGTCAGGGGCCAAAAAAGAGAGAGTGAGAAAGGCAGGTGCAGCCGGGCAAACCTGACACACCTGCTTAATTAGACTCACCTGTAGTTGAATTATTGTTCATAAGGATCTTGTCTAAAATTTAGCTTGGCTCCTAAGACTTTCATTGGGGTGTATTCATTTTTGCAACATGGTCTTGAATGAATTTGTTAAGGAAAATACTTTTTTGTGTGTGCACAAAGATTGCAAATCTTGGTTGCAATCACTAGCCCACATTTGTAGGAGTATTTTGTAGTATAGTGTCCCATAGAAAATGTTGATTCTGAAAGGAAAGCAAAGGTTTTCTGACAAATCTGTTAGGGCATACTCATTTGTGCTGAGCACTGTATTTGCTTTAATCATCTAAAACAATAATCTATAAGACAATATGCACTGTTAGACTGTTACCCAATTTCACTGTAGTCTGTGTAATGACAGTGAAGCTCTGTCTTTCCATCTACAATATCTATTTTAATACTGTAGGAATTCAGAGGTGATGTGCAAATTGAATAGAGGTTGTGAAGTGGGGAAGTTAATGGGGGGTTTTATTTGGTAGGTGATAAAAGGTCATTGTGGCTCTGTAGGTTGATTTCTGCAGTTCAAAACAAGAATGATGTATCCTTCTCAGATTGGTTCAGTTTAATAGTTTTTAGAGTTTTAGAATATGTTCTGTTCTTCTTTCCTGTTGATAATCTCACCACTGTTCAGACCTCTCTTGCAATCCCTTGGTTAAGAATAACTTTGTTTCCAGGAAACAGCTTAAGTTTACTTTAATGTTTAATTGTTACTGTAAATTATCCAAAAGCATTTTCGAAGAAATTAGCAAATATTTTACAGACAATAGGCTGTGATCATTTGCAAAATTTAAATTCAGTTTTAAAAGGATAAAGGTTAAACATAGCCTATAAAACATTAAAAGAAATCATTTTGTTTTAAAGTGACACTTTTCTTAAAATAAAACACCAATGTTTGATTCAACAAACAAGCTGCTCCCAATTGAAGTTTAAAATGTTTGTTTTGATACTGCAGTCCACTTTCCGATTTCAACAAACTTTAAAAAAAAAAAAAAAAAAGCTACATACATGAGAGGGTCAGAACATTAGGAACACCTCTGAATATAATGTAGTCCACCATAACTATGACCTCAATAATAAACATATAATTGAATATATTTATATATGTATAAATATATATATATATATATACAAACATACATATATTAGAGAAATATTTTTATTTCTTTTGGGCGTAATTAAAATGCCACCTTACAATTCGATGCTGTTTTAGTTCAAAATCTAGTATTTTTCTCATTTGTATTATTAGCTTGCGAAAAATGCCTTGTGTCATCTTTCACAGTCACATTCCCGCTATGTGCGGGGGGTGGGGCTAGGCGGTCGGAGCAACGAGCTAGGGGGAGGGGGGTAAGATAGCAGCCAGTAGTGCGATTCTCGAAGCTGCGCTGCGCACGTTCATGGGAGTACGCGCGCGCTTCCCGCCGGTACCAACGCAAAGCCACACCGCGGTAACGATGTTGTGAATGAGGGGATAGAGTGACGTAAGCGGCCGAATGTCAACAATGTAGCGACTGAGGGTAGGCGTTCCATTCGAGTGTAACAAACAGCGGAGACGGAGCGGCACGCCGCGCTGGATCACCACACACGCTCACGTACACACGCGCGCGCACACGCACACAACAGACCGTAGAATCGTAGACGTTGTGTGTTTTTGTTTTTTTTTAATAAGTGAGGAATAACTGAGTTGTAGCGACCGGAGAAGAAGTGACCTATCTGAAAGGAGGTTTTGAGGAAGCGACAAAGCGAGTCATCATGTGAAAGAACTTAAGTAGGAAACGGACAAAAGGGCTGGAATACGTGCAGAATAGAAAGTAAAAGGTGAGCTGACATGTATGTTTCTTGGTGGCTTTTCTTCATCCCTGACTAGTATCTTGCTGTGTTATCTTTGTGAATTCCCGGTTTGTCAGTCTCAGTCTATTGTGGATGCTCTTATAGCCGAGTTGCAAACTTGCATAAAGGGCGCAGCGGTGAGCTACAGCCAGGGGAGTCCTCACTGTGATATATGGAAAAATTCACATATAGCTAAACAGAAAAACCGCATGCATGAATCTTGAAAGCTTGGCGGTGGTGAGAATATTGAAGGGTGTAGTAATGTGTTCGGGTGTGAACGCGGGTTCAAGAGTGAAACACAACTCCGTACCACATCCTGTTATGCTTTGAGTCAATACGCAGTGTGCGCTCCCTTTTTTCTGGTTCGCTGTTTTTGCAAAGTAGAGGCGTTGGTGATCCCAGAAGAAGGGTCAGGCATGCCGCTGCTTCTAGGAGGAAAAATGCTCCTATCAACAAGGAGCTGTCAGTAATAGTGTCATTGAACACCTCACTCACTCACTACATGTAGCCTACATTCATCAGACTAATTTGGGTTGTATAATCACAACAGCAATCTAACATTTATTATTGTTGTTATTGGTGCTAGTAGTATGCAGTGCAATTAGCTCCCATTCCTTAGTCTTAAATTATCAGTCATTTTACCTCCACATTCATTCACACAGGAAAAATCAGATTTGCCGTGTGAGGACGAGTCTCATTTTCTCCGACAGCCAATGGAATCGTCTCAATCTGTCCATGCTATCATCTAGGAGCCAGTATTTTCACTGTCATTAGTCTAACCTTTTATGTAGAAAAGATCGGGAGCACGCGTGACTCCCGTCACCAAAATAAAAGAACACATTCGAGATTTTTAAATCGATCACAAATAGTGACGGGATTTCAAAAAAAGCTGCAGCCTTACACGCGGTTGCATTGTCATGTACAGAGATGCTGCAGTAGTGCTTTAAGTTAGTCCCTGTCTTTCAAATTATGCTGGAGTCAGTGATGTATTGGTTAATTGTGCTGTGATGTAAGTTTGTGATAAGATCAGTATGAAAAAATGGAAAAGGGATATTTTTAAAATCTCCTTACGTTTAAACCCATTTAACAAATCTGGAACGTTGTGCATGTGTGCATGTCTAGAACTACTACGATCATAAAGAGACATTAAATGTGGCTCGTATGGGGTTTGGAGAGGTTACAGAATAAATCGGTTGACAAGCTTCACGTCAGCTTCCAGCGTCCACGTTTGCTTTGCGCTCTTTGTCATGGAATAAAACTGAGCATGTGTGCACATTGTCCTGACATTTCTCAGCAGAATAACAAGGCGAAATAACTGTTTTTATTTCGGGATACTATTGTTGATCGCCACGTGTTTGACTCGAATGAAATCATAAGGGAATGAAGTGATGCTGCCATTACTGCGGTGATACAGCATTTTATGGAGCAGCGACATCCACGGGCATCGCAGCCTCTTTGTTCGTGCTGATGCAACGCGATGATGACACCATGGGGATCGCAGCATCACCCTTCATCCTCATCCAGTTCTGTCATGGCAGATCGCCTCTCTGCAGTTTTTCTGGAACTGAAAAAAACAGAATATCATGCATCAGTGACATGCGTGATGCAGAGAGAAGGTGCGGGTGCCGCAGTCATTTCTACTCACGTCAGTTTAAAGAGAGCAAGGATTAAAACGCATTGTCGTTTATTGACATGGCTCTGGTTTCACAACATGTGCATGGCGGCAACACTCATGCGCAGTTTTACACGCGGAGCCTTTTGTTCTGTACAGTAGCTCCCCTGCCTTTCTTTTCACATGCACGGCGGTCTCGTGCTTATTGTGCGGGGAAAGGAGAGTGGTGGGGGAAGTGCGGGGTATCCAAAAACTGTAAACCCCACAGTGACTCGCCAGGACTAAATTCCGTTTCATCCAGTCTGCCAACGCTTTACTTCTCCTGCTTATATCACATCATCTTAAATGGATCCATGTGCATTTCTTTGCATCAAAATAATTTTTCCATCAATATTAGTAAGGAGAGGGATTAAATGGAAGATGGGTTTGTGACCTTGATGGCCAGTATTCTACAGTGCATCATGGTTATTGTTATAATGAGTATTCAATTTTCACATGTGCAGTCATAAATTGAACACTGTTTTTCATGTTTGTGTAAAATACAGTCAGTTTAATCAGTGACTGAAAGATGTTTTTAACAAACATAAACACCTTTCAAAACTTTAAGTTCCAGTCAAGAGTCTTTCCCTGAACAAATAGCTGTGTACAGTGTCTGTAGTCTGTTTATTACTGTGTGAAATAAGATATATGAATATATGCAAATAAAGAATTCAGCACCATATGCTGTTTGGCTTGCTGGCTAAGGTAGATTTTGATCAAATCTAAACATATTTTGATAAAGACTCAGCTGATACCTACATCCACAGAGCTGTATAGAAGAAGTCAGAGTAAAAGTACTGTCACACATTAGAAATCAATACCACAGTCATGATAACCTTTTTACAGCATGGATATATGTTATGTCCAATGCATGCAAAATGATAAAAAATAATGTAATCAACTACTACAATGAACTGTTTTCCACTACTGAAAAAAACACTTCATAAAACCAAAAACTGCAACAATTCTTTTTCACTTTTGATTATAGTTCCTTCTGAATGATGAATTTGGACAAAGAAATTTTAGTGTAGATATCATAATTATTTTAATAATATGATTCCTGTGAATATTAGTAAACAATCATATTCAATTGTTATTGCTTCATAATTTTGAATTCCCCTCTCTTGTGCCATTTCCATTCTTGTAAAAGCTGTAACTTTAAAGTCACATGACTGTGGGATACCACAAACCTAATTATACATTAGCTTTAGTCAAGCATATTGGTTAAAACACAGATTTTGCAACAGGCCACATTTTGTGCATGGTTTTCATTATGGTAAAAATAATATAAACAGACTGATTACACCTGGTATGTTAAATAGAGACACTGTACTGGATATAAACAATGCTGTGTCATAAAATGAAATGACCAACAACTGACCTCTTATATTTTCTATCAGTGTTTTTCATATTTGATTTATTTTGTAATTTATTTAATATTATATTTCCTCAAAATAATAGTGGTGAAGCAAGCTTGGCTTTAAAAAAAAAACTTTATTGCCTTAAACATAGCCCCATTTCAGACTATACTAAACCTAATCAGGGTCAGCCTGTAAACTACTCACCATGGTAGGTTCTTTTTACACTTTGGCTCCCCCAACACAGATAAAAAATAGTTCATGACCTCAGCATCCAAAATGGCACCTACAATTGTACTTGGGTTGTTCACTTTGCTAAAAACCTTTCTGGTTAAAGCTTCATGAAATTGTAACAATTAAAAGTTTGCACAAAACATTTTCTTGCAGTATTTTGTCCCACCTTGACATTCTGTCACAACAGGAAGTTCATCACAATAAATTAAACAAGATCTCAATGAAGTCCTTTAAAATAGATGAGTAATGTTGGACAAACTGACCTTTATTATATAAGACAAGCTCAGTGTCTCTCCTGTTGAGCTTAGCTTGGGAACACCTTTCAGTCTGAGTGAGTCACTATTGGGGATCTTTATATAATGAGCCCCTCAGGCTTCCCAGGAAGAGCTGGAATCTTACACAGCAACAAGATGGATTTCTCCTGAAGGAAATCCCAGCACTCACCAAGATGTTGAAATTGCATTATTTTGTTATTTTTATAAAACAGAATAACAAAAAGCTAAAGATCCTCATCTCTCACAGTTGTTTTTTTTTTTTTATCCCGGCATCATTAAACGATTGTTTGCATCACTGAGGACATTTGAGTAACTTTCACCGGTTCAGCTCAACATCCCAAGTCAGTGTCTTGGCTAGCAAAAAGAAAAAACATGTTCCCATAACTCTTCCACGTCAGCACAAAGGCATGTGTGACTGGGCTGCTGCCAGGGTGAGGCGTAGATGGGACAGCACTGCTGGGAGAAATCTAAGAACCTGCACTTTACACCAAGGACTATTGTTTCCTCCGATCTCTCTCTCTCTCTCTCTGTCTCGATGTTGATGCTCATTCTTCTCCTGCCGTTCATAGCAGTGATGTGCACTGGTGTTGACGCTCGCCGTGTGAAATCAGATTGCATTATCCCACCAGACCCATCAGTCGGCGGTTGCGGAGTCAGGGCCTGTAGTCAGTGGCTGTCTGTCTGTTTGCTGCTCAACACAGACACTTGCCAAGAAGCTGAAACACCACAGGCAGATTGTTTTGTTTTTGTTTTGCATTTTTTGTGTTGGAATTATCAAGATATGTAAACCATCATCAAACCTATTTAATGATCTCATAGTCTTGACCTACTGCCTCAAGCAGAGAGCTTCACCTTTTAGGAACCCATGTGGTGGTCATCCATACATTTACAACTGTGCAAAATATATTGAGCTAACAAAATGATTCACATCTGGTGCCAATACCACTGGAATTAAAACAATGCAACAGTGCATTTTAGAAAAATGAGGTGTGTGTGTGTGTAAACTGGCGTTTAGTGAATGAAGAGAAACGTTTAGCTCAGTGTAATGATCTATTTGTATTGGATTAGTGCACCACTACTACTGTTGGCAAGGGACTGGAGAGAACTGCTGAGGTCTGTTTAAACATTTCCTCTCAGTGTAGAGGTGCTGCTGCTACAATTGGTTTCCTTATTCAGTGAGCAGGAGGTGAAAACAGCTGAACCTCCTGCTGCCATTTTGACAGTTCCACAGTCAGAAGGAGCTTTAAAGACAATCAACAGTTTGCCCTTTACGATGAACTAATTAGTTTGATTTTTAGAACATTAGGATTTAATTTAAGTGCTTGCTCAAGGAGGATTTGTTGGGTTTTCATCTATAATAATAAGGTCTAGACCTTACTTTGTAAAGTGTCCTGAGATGACTTTTGTTGTGATTTGGTGCTATACAAATAAATTTGCATTGAACTGAACTGAATTTAAGTTATTGTTTGT